TACACAAGCCCTAGACTACGCAGATGCTCTAACTATCTTCTTGTTAGCTTGGCGATCGCTGATTTGATCGTGACCATGGTGTGTGAGCCGTTAGCCGTGGGAATCGTGGCCAAGAAAACCTTTTTCAACGACTGTGCATCAAACCTGGAGCTCGCCTATGGTGTCTTTGCTAACTTCTCGTGTTCAGCGTCTCTGTTGCACCTAGCGGCAATCAGCGTTGATCGCTTTCTCGCCGTTATTTTCCCCCTCCGTCACGGTCGCATAATGAAGAACTATGGCTTGAAGATCATGTTGATAGTTGTTTGGGGTGTAGCAACAGTGTTTGCATCTCTTCGTGTGCCTTTCCTAAAAGAAACAGCTTACTTGGCTGCTCTGATGTTTATCATAGGCTATTTCCTTGTCATCGGATGCTACTTGTCCATCACGATTTCAGTATTTTTGCTCAGGAGGAGAAACAAGCAAGCTTCTAGGCAAGGCAGAACAGTCAGAATTTCCGTTGGTAGCAAAGCTGAGAGACGGCTTGCTTTCACGCTGGCTATTGTAATTGGCGTATTTACAGCATGTTGGTTTCCCGCGATCGTTGTTTTCTTTGCTGCTGGGAAATCTCTGGTGAAAATGTATGGAACCGCGTACATGTGGATAAGAACTTTAGCCTTGTTAAATTCAGCTATGAACTTTATTATCTACAGCGCTAGAATTCGTGACTTCAGAGACGCCTTCGCAATTATATGCCGCAAGATTCTTCGCATGGTTTGAAGCAATCCAAGCACTTTGCTCGGCGTACTCAATCGAAACAGACTCGAACGAATTTCAACGGAACTTTAAGGGCTATCACACGAGGATTTCGCTATTTTAGGTCAATTCTATGCTGAAGTCTCAACTAAGCGCCTTTACCCATAAACAAAATGCTTTGCTAGAGATATGAAGAATATATTATCAAACAAATTTCATCAACAAGCACTACCCATAATAACTGCTTTTTGGTGATTTTTGTACGCAAAGCCAATTAAAAGTTGAAAAATGTGTCTCAAATTATTCATGTTTCAATTCATGTCCATCTTTTCCATCCGTTGCAACAGACGACATGAAACAGTTTCAGTGCTTAAACAAAGTCGTGAATAACAAAACTGGCCAATAATTCTACGAATTCAATTGACGCGAACCCAAGTTTTTGCTTTTTAAAAAGATAGGAAATGGCGTGATATACTCTTGCCCCATATAAGGGAATTCCGTATTTTAGAATCTGTGAAATGTTTGCTTGTGAAATCTGGAATCCTGGGCTATGGAATCCGGAATACAGGTCAAGGAATCCGGAACCCTACTGACGATTGGAACTCAGAATCTAAGTTCCACTGACAAAGATCCGGAATCCAGTAGCTGGAATCCGTAATCCTACGGCGTGAATTCCAGAATCCAAGAATGTCTTGGATTCGACATCGCCCCTTTAAATCATCGACTGAGTTCGATAAAGTTCGATAATCGAACGTAATTGAACTAACCAAAAAAACATTCGCTCGATCGAACAGTTTTGAAACACTCCTTCACAAAAAATATAAGCTTATGAATTAGTTTATTACTTAATTGCTGTCTAAACCATTTAGACATTGGAGCCCGGTTCCTGAAAGGCCGAATCCAGGATTAAGATTTTATTTGTTCCACTTTTTGTATTTACCTTCCTATGCATTGCTTAGAGTAACATTTTGTGTTATCATGCCTATACCTCGGAGTAAAGGCACAACAGTATTTTGTAAGCTCGAGTTACATGTTCTTAGACAAGAAAACCTTGCTTAAAATTTGACTTAATCCTGGGTTAAACTTAACCATTTTTCGAGGAACCGGGCCCAGTTGTTATCTTGTCGTTTTGTCTTTTATCTTACTCTTTGGCTCCGAAGAGTATAATGGTGAACACAGGGTACCTAAAAAGTAATTATAGCTTTTGGCATACTTGAATGTAAGATTTATTGAGAGATCAGAGGTTCTTGCCAACATTTCACAGAAATGGAGTGACGGAACATAACTTTGACGGCTCTTTCCACGCTAAAAATAAAAGCTGATTTTTACACGATAGGTTTGATTCGTGAGTGGTAAAACGCGCAACATCGCTATGCAACTCGATTTGCAGCAATGTTGCAAAACAATTTGCACGCTTTTTTGCCTGTTTTACCGTATCTTAGGCCATCAGAATTCGTTCAGAAGGTTTGTCCTTTTCTGCTTAATAACCTTTGCAATAAGCGGCAAAGGCTGTAAGGACTCTTTTATCTGGAGGTCTTGGAGCATCCTCTCCCAGGAAAAAAAACATAAATAAATAAGTTGAAATAAGCCTAACCTAATCATACCTACCCGCCTCGACTAGTTTCTTTTCACCCTTTAAGTCCCAATAGTGACTAACATCAATTTTCTCCTAACGATATCCATAATTTGTCAAGAGATTAGGTTATGAGAATTAATAAAATGATCACCTAAGGGAAAATGCCTTGATATTTTGACAAATTCTCTCAACTCAGTCATGAAGGAAATGTATGGAGATCAGTTTGGAGAATTTGTATGTGGATATTGGGGCTTAAAGGGTTAACCACTTGTGGGTAGGTACTATTAAAATCGTAACTATCTGTTTCTTAGTAAACTGTGTTGTTGTTTGTTGTTGTTGTTATAGATAAGTAGAGTAGTGCTCCTAGTAATTTTCATTGTTTTTATTGTTTATGAAGAATGGAGTTTTAAGACTTACAACCGTTATTGTTTCCTTCCTATTCTAACCTTGTTAATTAAAGGCTCTCAGAAGACGTCAATAGACCGCGATAAACAGGCAGTAACTGGCTTTTAACGGCGGTTAAGAGCACTGTTTATCATTAATTTAACTCACATAATTTATCTTTGTGGACAAAGTAGAGAATGAAGAAACACTCTCTCTTGTATTTGATACGCTACATCAAATGCCAAATATGCACTGAGTTTGTGAAGGGAAAACAAATAAAAATGAATACTTTACAGCTATTAAAATCATTCTCAGTCATTTTCTAATGGTTGCTTAATAAAGAGGCAGGTTGGTTTACCCTTTTAGAAAAGAAACAACTATGCAGTCACCTTGATCTATAATTAACAACTGTTTGTTAGAAGGTCTGATGCACTCAAATCACATATTTGATCTTATCTTCTTTTCGTAGCTTTGACTCTGGTAAATAACCACTGTGTCGTATCAAATTGGCAAAAAGCATTTACACTCATCTGGGCGAACTTTCAGGAGCAAGAGAAAGGCTGAAGAAAAAATATATATTGAGATATAGTTAGACACGAAGCAGCCTCTTTCAGTCAGCAGCCTCAAGGCTAAACTGCAAAAAAGCCCTTATTGTTGCCTAGGTTAAGAACGCACGCGCGAGTGGTCAAAAGAAACTGGGGAAAACGGAGAGTGAGACTGGGGAGAGACATAGGCCCTACGGACGTGTGAGACCCAACGCGCTTCGAGCGAAAATATCACGACTTGCAAAACAGATTTTAAGAAAAACAAAACCGACTGTTTGCAGTCTATCTTAAGGCTTTATGTGTGATCGCTTCGATCAGGAAAAAAAGTTCAGTGATCGTATCAATGTATGGAAACAACTCTTATATGATGATAGCAATATGTACATTGATTATCATGACAATGATCACTAAGATAGACTTCAGGGCCGAGTTGTTCAAAGCTGGGTTAAGATAACCCAGGGTTAGTGAAAAATTTGATTTCAGATTTGAAAGCTTAAAAAGCATTTCAGTTTTAATTCTTTTTGTCTACAGATTGACTATTGGAAGCTCTAAAAATAACAGAGAAAACTATCCGAGAAAGTGCTTTTGAACACAAGAAAAAGAAAGCCGGGTTAAGCGCTAATCGGCCTTCGAAAAACTGAGCCCAGTTCTGTGTTATCGCTGAGTGTTTCCATTATTAGACTGGGGGAGTTGTTTCATAGCCTGAGAAAACAGGCGACATTTCGCGACGCCACCCCTGGTTTCCCCACGAAATGACGTCTGAGAAATGAGCGCAGTAATTCCATACTGATCCCGCTTCTGATTGGTTGAAGCAAATTTTAAGCCAATTAGAAAACTTCTTTCCTCAGACGTCATTTCGCGGGAAAACAGTGGTAGCGTCGCGAAATGTCGGCTACTGTTTTTCAAAGGCAAGCTCAACATGTACCTCTTAAGAGCGAGTACAATATTCACTGCCCTATTCACAAATGCAAGTTTCCATGGAACAATGCTACCACGTTTTATGTCACGGAGGGGGGGGGGGGGGGATTTTTGGGGGGGGGGTTTAAGGGGGGGGGTTTTGGGTTCCCGGGGGGGGGGTTTTTTTTTGGGGGGGGTTTTTTTTGGGATTTTTTGGGTTTTATTTGCTGGTTACAACAACAAAAAAACCCATTTTTTTTGGTGGGTGTTGTGTTTTTTTT